CCCGCCTCGGCCTCCCAAAGTGCTGGGATTACAGGCTTGAGCCACCGCGCCCGGCCCACCGTTTTTTTTTTTTGTTTGTTTGTTTTGTTTTGAGGCGTCAGAATCACTTGAGCTCAGGAATTTGACACCAGCCTGGGCAACATAGCAAGGCACTGTCTCTACAAAAAAATTTTAAAAAATTAGCTGGACGTTGGCCAGTAGTTTTAGCTATTCAGAAGGTTGAGATGAGAGAAGGCTTGAGCTCTGGGGCTCTATGCAGTGAGTGATAATCATGGCACTGCATTCCAGCCTGGGTGACAGAGCAAGACCCTCCATCTCAAAAAAAAAAAAAAAAAAAAATCATAAGGGTATATTTTGGGGCTTTCTGTTCTATTTATTGGTTTAATTTATTTACTCCTACACCAGTATTACACTATTTCTTAATGTCTATAGGGTAAGTGCCAACAGTTCTTCAGGAGCGTTTGGGGTTTTCCTGGCCTTTTGCACTTCCACACACATATGTTTTATTAAAAGAAGATCAGTTTCTTCATCAAAACATGTTGATTGAAAACATGTTAACTTTCTATTTTACGGAGAATTCAAGTCTTTATATTGAAACCTCTAATCTATCAACACGGAAAGTCTATCCATTGATCTAGGTCATCTTCAACCTCTTCCAATAGTATTTTACAAATTTCTCCCAAGAAACATTGCACTTTTTTGTTGTCTTTATTTGTAGTTATTTTATTGCTGTTAAAAGAGACAAGGTGGCCATTCAAGGTGACTCACGCCTGTAATCCCAACACTGGGATGCTGAATGCTGAGGTGGGCAGATCACCTGAGGTCGGGTGTTCAAGACCAGCCTGGCCAACATGCCGAAGCCCTGTGTCTACTTAAAAAATACAAAATCTAGCTGGGCGTGGTGGCACGCACCTGTAATCCCAGCTACTTAGGAGGCTGAGGCAGGAGAATCACTTGAACCAGGGAGGTGGAGGTTGCAGCAAGTCAATATTTCGCCACTGCATTCCAGACTGTGTATCACAGTGAGACTCCATCAAAAAAAAAGGAGACAGGGCCGGGCGCGGTGGCTCACGCCTGTAATCCCAGCACTTTGGGAGGCCGAGGCGGGTGGATCACGAGGTCAAGAGATCGAGACCATCCTGGTCAACATGGTGAAACCCCGCCTCTACTAAAAATACAAAACATTAGCTGGGCATGGTGGCGCGTGCCTGTAATCCCAGCTAGGGTTAGGCGGAGGTTGTGGTGAGCCGAGATCGAGCCATTGCACTGGTAATTATTTTTGCATATTGAGTTTTTAGCCCACTATTCCTGCTAACCTGCACTTTATGTGTAACAATTTAGATTCTTTTGGATCTCCCACTTAGATAATTATGTTGTCTGTAAATAATGGCAGAAAAAAAGTGTAGATAATGTTCCTCCTTTTTTTTTTTTTTCCCCGGAGACAGGGCCTCACTCTGCCGCCCTAGCTGGAGTGCAATGGAGATCTCAGCTTGCTACAACCTCTGTCCTCTGGGGCCCAAGTGAGCCTCCTGTGTCAGTCTCCAAAGTAGCTGGGACTATAGACATGCATCACCATGCCTGGTTAGTTTTTGTATTTTTTTTTTTAATTGATACAGGGTTTTGCCATGTTGCCCACGCTGGTCTCAAACTCCTGAACTCAAAGGGATCTTCCTGCCATGGCCTCACAAAGTGTTAGGATCTCAGGCATGAGCCACTGCTTGTGGTCGTAACTACAATGCATGATAGTATCCTTGAGAGTGAGCATTGTTGCTATAGTCCTGTGTTCAGAATAGTTTTCAGTATTTCACTACAATGTTAGCTGTAGATTTTTTTTACATGCTCTTGGTCAGTTTGTTGAGAGATGTTAAGAATGGGTCAGGTGTGGTGGTTCATACCTGCAATCCCAGCACTTAGGGATGCTGAGGAGAGGATCGCTTGAGCTCAGGATTTCGCGACCAGCCTGGGCAATATAGTATGACATCCCCCCAGGAAAAATTTAAAAATTAGCCTGCTGTGGTGTCACTAGCCTGCAGTACCAGCTATTGGAGAATTCGAGGAAAGATTGCTTGAGCCCAGGAATTGGAGGTTTCACTGAGCCATGATGGAGCCACTGCACTTCAGCCTGTGCGACAGAGGAAGATCCTGACCTATAAAAATGCAAAAATAGCCAGGCGCGGTGGCTCATGCCTATAATCCCAGCACTTTGGGAGGCCGAGGCGGGCGGATCACCTTAGGTCGGGAGTTCCAGACCAGCCTGACCAACATGGAGAAACCCCATCTCTACTGAATACAAAAATTAGCCGGGCGTGGTGGCAGGCACCTGTAATCCCAGCTACTTGGGAGGCTGAGGCAGGAGAATCACTTGAACCTAGGAGCGGAGGTTGCAGTGAGCTGAGGGTGGCCAACATGGCGTAACCCCGTCACTGCTAAAAATACAAAAATTAGCCAGGCATGGTAGTGCGTGCCTGTAATCCCAGCTACTGGGGGTGGGGAGGTGCTGAGGCAGGAGGATCGCTTGACCCTGGGAGGCAGAGGTTGCAGTGAGCCAAGATCGCACCATTGCACTCCAGCCTGGGCAGCAGAGCTAGACTCCGTTTCAAAAAAAAAAAAAAAAGAAATAGGGGCTTGCTATTTTGCTCAGGCTGGCCTCGAACTCTTGGACTCAAGCTTGAACCACTGCGCCCGCCCGGGAAAAGCTTTGGAGGAGCATCTTCTGGGATACGTCCCAGGCCACATCCCGGCCCTCCAGCCCATCTGGCCACCTGAGCCGCGGGCTAGGCCGGGTCCTACCTCTAAACCGCTCCCGAGTAGGTGCCCCAACCAATAGTTCCGTCCAGAGACCCGGTTCTAACCTCGCCTTTTTCTCTGAACTTGTTTCTGCATCCCGCTGTCCGAGCCAACCCGAGGCCCTGTCCGCACCCACCCGGGAAAAAACTAGGATAGAAATTCTGTGTCTGACCCGGTTGAAACTCCAGTCCAAGAGCCCCGCCCAGCCCGAGGCTCAGAACGGAAGTGACGTCAGCGCGCCACTGCCGTCTTTTCCGGCGCTACCTCCGAGTATTCAGTGCCATTCGCTTTTATGGTGGTGGCGGTCACCCGGCTGTGGTGAGTTCTGCCTGCTTTGGGGTCCCGGAGATAGCAGCGGGGAGGCAAAGGAAGGATTGGACCTGGTCGCCCAGAAGCCTCTCGGATCTGGCTCGTTTCACTCGCTTCTCCAGAGGCTGTCCTTCCTCCCGGCGCGGCCAGTTCCGAGAGTAGGCACGCTCGGTCGGTCAGTTAGGAGCTGGGTCTGGAAGTGTGTTTGTCCCGCTTCCGCGGGGTGTTTTCTGGAGTGCTTCCATCCTCTGTGCTCCCCTCTTCAAAAGCGTGGAAAGCAGAGTTTGTGAATTTTTTCTTTCCGAAAGGAAGAGGATCTGTCTTTCTAGTGAGATTGGCTCCGGCCACGCATCCTTCTTCCTCAGGAACCTGGCTATTCCGGCGTGTTCCTGGTGAGCACCGGCAGAAGACTGGTTTCAGGAGAGGCCTGACTTCCATTCTTTGCTAAAAAATGTCTCATCTGAGAATCTGGCGTTGTCTTGATGTCGTTTACTTATTTTTGACACATTACATTCAGATGGAAAAAAATCTAGTTGTTTAGGGTGTGCCTGTTTTTGTATGTATTATGAACACGTGTAGACTGTAAGCCTTTAGTTTTTAATTTTCATTTTCTTGGACTTTATTTTTTTCCCAGTTGTTACCAGCTCCAAGCCTTTCTACTAAAGAAAGGCAGGCTGGGCACGGTGGCTCACGCCTGTAATCACAGCACTTTGGGAGCCAAGGCGGCGTATCACCTGAGGGCAGGAGTCCCAGACCAACCTGGCCAACATGGTGAAACCCTGTCTCTAGTAAAAATAAAAAATTAGCAAGGCGTGGTGGCGGGCCCCTGTAATCCCAGCCGTTGGAGATAAAATGCTCGGTGCTGCAAAGTGAAACCAGCACTCAGGAAAAAGTTTTCCAAGCAAGGCATTTCTACAGAAGGGTGCGTTTCGCGGATGGAGCATTGGCGGAAGCACACCGGGGAAGGGAGGGTAAGGGGTTTTATCTCTGAGGCAGGGTTCCTACCTCCGTGTCACTCCCCCACGAGTTGGGGGGCCGCAGAGTGTAAACTGACCCTATTGGCTATTTGTGAATATTTTCCCCAAATAAGGAAGGGAAGGGGGATGTGTGAGTCACAATGTTGGGACATGCGGTTTTGAAGGGTGGAATAGTTGTAGAGTGGGTAGCCAAGGGAACAGATGTGAGTTATTGATTAGAGCTGACTAGAAGGTTGTTTATAGTAACTAGAGGCAAGGAGGCATGGAGAACAAGAAAGTTGAGTTTGAGAACAAAGAACAGGGAAGTTAACAGGGTGAACTTTTGAAGAGAAATTCAGAGAACTATATTATATCTTACACAGCTATTCCGGAGGCTGAGGCAGGAAAATCGCTTAAACCCGGGGGGCGGAAGTTGCAGTTAGTCGAGATCCCGCCACTGCACTCCAGCCTAGGCGACGAGAGCAAAACTCTGTCTCAGAAAACAGAGAAAAAAGAAAGGCAATAATACTCAGGTGTTCTCTTCATGTGAAATTGCCACAGAGCTTCAAAATAGGGGCCTCAAGGAAGAAAGGATGAAGGTGTAATTACACTGATACTAGGATTATTTATTATTATAATTAGAATATTCTAGTATTAGTGTAATAAAGTAGTATCTACAGCATTTATTCTTCTTAACAGCATGTTTGGTCTAAGTGTAGTTTTTACATTTTTTTTTCTGAAAAATTTGATCCTAAGCAAAACTTGAACATCTAACACACCCAGTTTAGTAGATTTATTTATTTATTTGTTTAGCATTGTGCTTTTCTTTCTCCTCAAGTAAATAAATCTTATGGTGAACAATTTGAGCGTAAATTGAGCATGAATTGCACACGTCATACTTGACCTTTAAATACTTGGTAATGCATCTCCTAAAAAAAAGGCGTTGTCATACTAAAACAACAGTCCTACTATTTCACTTAAATAAAAAATAATGTCATGAAGCCGGGCGCGGTGGATCACGAGATCAAGAGATCGAGACCATCCTGGTCAACATGGTGAAACCCCGTCTCTACTAAAACTACAAAAAATTAGCTGGGCATGGTGGCGCGTGCCTGTAATCCCAGCTGCTCAGGAGGCTGAGGCAGGAGAATTGCCTGAACCCAGGAGGCAGAGGTTGCGGTGAGCCGAGATCGCGCCATTGCACTCCAGCCTGGGTAACAAGAGCGAAACTCCGTCTCAAAAAAAAAAAAATAATAATAATAATAATGTCATGAAATGTCTACTTTGTGTAATAACTAAAATTCTCCGCATTGATGCAACATATGCTCTTAGGTGTTTTTGGATCTAAGATCCGTTCAAGATTTTTGCATTGCAATTTCTAGTGTCTTCAGTGTCTGTTCGCCTAGAACAGTTATTATTGTCTAGTATGTTGACTTTTACAGAGTCACATTCTCTTAGAAAGTCATACAATCAAATATTTCTTTGGATTCTCATGGTGTGTGTAAATATTCCTTTATTTCATGGGATTTCCTACAAACTTGCAATTGGATCCAGAGGAGGAGCTGACAACTTGTGTTTGATAAGGGCTGACAGTATGTACTTCATGCTTTGGAGACCATAAAGTCTCAAATACTCAGTTTTGTCTTAGTGACTTGATGTCCCTTGATTTGTTGTTCATTCTCTGTCACAATGCTAGTGGCAAACCACAAAAGAAAAAGTTAATCTGCATAAGAGGCATGGATTTACTCTGGAATACCAGAGGGCTGTACTCTCCATTTTCTGTTGGTGCCTGCCAGAGGCTTCCAATAAATAGCATGATATTTAACATGGACACGTTGAGTATCATTGGGTCTGCTGGATCAAGTGCACCAAGTGCTTTGGAAGCCTGCATGGCAGCCTGAAATTACTGTGGTGTACAGTTGAAACTAGAATCCCTACAGGCAAGTATGTGGGGCGTAAAAGCACGTGTAACTGTATATGTTGCCTCCAAATTCAAGAGGCCTATGGATGGTATTTCTATTGATAGTTCTATTTTTAGCTTTTCTTTTCTTTTTTTTTTGAGACAGTCTCGCTCTGTCACCCAGGCTGGAGTGCAGGCGGCGCAATCTCGGCTCACTGCAACCTCTGCCTCCCCGGTTCAAGCAGTTCTCTGCCTTAGTCTCCCAAGTAGCTGGGATTACAGGCGCCCGCCACTATACCCTGCTAATTTCTGTATTTTTTGTAGAGACAGGGTTTTACCATCTTGGCCATGCTGAGTCTTAAACTCCTGACCTTGTGATTTACATGTCTTGGCCTCCCAAAGTGCCTGGCCTATTTTTAGTTATTTGAGATCAGGGATATTGCTAGTGATAATTTCACAGGCATGAGCCACCGCGCCTGAATATTGTTCTTTATAGTGGCTGTACTAATATACATTGCCACCAACTTCATACAAGGATTTTCTTTTCACCACATGTTTATCAGCATTTATGATTCCCTGTCTTTCTTTAATAAAAGCCTCTAAATGAGGTGAGATGCTATCTTATTGTGGTATGTGTGATTTGTATTTCTCTGATGATTAATGATGTTGAGCATTTTTTCATATAGCTGTTGGCTATTTGTATGTTTTTTTGAGAAACATTTATCCTGACCTTTTGCTGATTTTTTGGGATCAGATTTTTTTTTTGCTATCAAGTTGTTTGAGTTCCTTATATATTCTTATTATTAATCCTTTGTCAGGTGGATAGTTTGTAACTATTTTCCCCCATACTGTAGATTATCTCTTCACTTTTTTGATGTGTTTCTTTTGCGGTGGAAAAGCTTTTTAGCTTGATGTAATCTCATGTGTTTATTTTTGCTCTTGTTTCCTGTGCTGTTTTGTCTTACCAAAAATCTTTACCCAGACCAATGTCCTGGATGTTTCCCCATTGTTTCTAGTAACTAGATTGTTACCAGTCTTCCTCTGCTAATAATTTTATAGGTTTTTTATTTTTTTGAGACAGAGTCTTGCCGGTCACCAGGCTGGAGTGCCAGTTTTGTGATCTCAGCTCACTGCAACCTCCACCTCCCGGATTCAAGCAATTCTCCTGCCTCAGCCTCCTGAGTAGATTGGAGTGCAGGAGCCCACTACCACGCCCAGCTAATTTTTGTGTTTCTAGTAGAGATGGGGTTTCACCATGTTGGTCAGGAAGGTCTCAATCTCCTGACCTTGTGATCCGCCCACCTGGGCCTCCTAAAGTGATGGAATTACAGGTGTGAGCCACTGTGCCCAGTGTTTTGTTGTTGTTGTTTGTTTGTTTTTTGAGATGGAGTTTTTCTCTTGTTGCCCAGGCTGTAGTACAATGGCGTGATCTCGGCTCACTGCAACCTCCACTTCCAGGGTTCAAGCCATTCTCTTGCCTCAACCTCCTGAGTAGCTGGGATTACAGGCATGCACCACTATGCCGGCTAATTTTTTTTTTTTTTTTTTTTTGAGACAGAGTCTCAGTTTGTCGCCAGGCGCCAGGCTGGAGTGCAGTGGCACAATCTCGGCTCACTGCAACCTCCGCCTCCCGGGTTCAAGCAGTTCTCCTGCCTCAGCTTCCCGAGTAGCTGGGACTACAGGCACACGCCACCACGCCCAGCTAATTTTTGTGTTTTTAGTAGAGACGGGGTTTCACCATGCTGGCCAGGATGGTCTCGATCTCTTGACCTCGTGATCCGCTCGCCTCAGCCTCCCAAAGTGCTGGGATTACAGGCTTGAGCCACCGTGCTCGGCCTAATTTTGTTTTTTTTTTTCAGTAGAGACAGAGTTTCTCCATGTTGGTAAGGCTGGTCTCACACTCCCGACCTCAGGTGATCCACCTGCCTCAGCCTCTCAAAGTGCTAGGATTACAGGTGTGAGTCACTGTGCCCAGCCCCTTAGATTATTTTTAATTTACCTGTTGATTTATTTTTTTTTTTTTTAAGAGATAAGGTCTCTCTCTGTCACCCAGGCTCGAATGCAGTGGTGTCATGGCTTACTGCAGCCTCTACCTCCTAGGCTGAAGCAGTCCTCCAACCTCAGCCTCCTGAGTAGGTGAGGTGTACACCACCACACCTGGCTACTTTTTGTGCTTTTTAGTAGAGATGGATTTTCATCATGTTGCCCAGGCTGGTCTTGAACTCCTGAGCTCAAGCAATCTGGCTGTGTCTGCCTCCCAAAGTGATTTTCTTTAAAATTTTTCTAGGTCACTGCCTTCTTTTCAACACTAGATGGAATCTTAAACTCGCGTTTGTGTCTGCTCTAGCAAACAATCAAGAATACTGCCATCTAGAATGGGGGAGGCACCAAAGGCATATCCCAGCAGTGTGGGAAGGCTGGCTGTGTGTTCATGCCCAGGGGCCTGTGTAGCATACCCTATAGTGTGGTCCTCCTGAATAGCCATTCTGATTTGGTTTCTCCTTTGGCCAAGTTATAAAACAGAGTTTCCAGGGCTTCGGATGGGAGTCCTGCCTCTCCTCTTTTTCCCTGGATGTCCTCAGGGATATTTCTCCCTTTAGGCACTTGTGATGCTTCCTGTGGGTTGAGACAGGGAGGGACTGATCTTTTACCAGGGAACCCAGGATGGTGGAGAAGGTGGTTGTCCACCTTGATCTCAATTATTTCCATTGTAGAAACTGAATCGGTAGAAATTTTCCACATTTTTGGTGCTGGGCAGATTAAAGAAAAGGGTCGCACACAGATATGGAAATTTGATTCTCTTACTGCCTCCTTGGAGTTTTTTCACTTTGTAGCCCCAGACACTGTCTAGTTTTTATATTTGAGATCAGGGATATTGCTAGTGATAATTTTCGTAATGTGTATTTGGTTTTGGTTTTCTGGAAGGGGAGTGAAACCAATTAATTTGCTTCTGTACTACCATTTTGAAATTATAAATGCAGCATGTTTCTAATAAAGTCGTCTGAGGTATTTTCAGTTAGGGTACAGTGGTTCATGCCTGTAATCCTAACAGTAGGAGGCTGAATTGGGAGGATTGCTTAAGGCCAGGTGTTTGAAACTAGCCTGGTCAACATCAAACCCCGTGTCTATAGAGGAAAAAAAAATTATTAGCCAGGCGTGGTAGTATGTGTCTGCAGTCCCACATATTTGGGAGTCTGATGCAGGAGGATTGCCTGACCCCAGGAGTTTGAGGTTGCAGTGAGCTATGATCACACCACTGTAATCCAGCGTGGGTGACAGAGTAAGACCCTGTCTCTAATTTTTTTTTCTTTTCTCCTGGCCTCGTGATCCACCTGCCTCGGCCTCCCAAAGTTCTGGGATTATAGGC